AGCTTCGGGGAGGAAGTGGCATCTCCCAACTTCTTCGGAAGCCACAGCAGGCATCTTGGCCTCGCAGCCAGGGATATGAAAGAGGAACGTACGAGGCGAGAAAACTTTGTAAGCGGGAGCTGTAGAGTTCTCGGCGGGCATGTGGAAGCCCAGATTCCCCGACTCGGTGTCCGTGGTCTGGACACCTGTTTCTGCAGTGCCCCAACCTGATGTTTTAACGACTTACCTTCTCCAGAAAGAGCGACGTGGGGTAGAAGCGATGCGCCGCCTGGACCCCACGTAGACGTTAAATATTAGGAGGAGTCTCGGTGACATTGTAGGTTAGATTTGACCACAGGTCCACATTCGTCGTTTGGGCTCTGTGACCTGAGACGATTCAGGGAACATCTCTGGATCTCAGTTTTCTGATCTATGAAAGGCAGTGAGGCTTCATCTCCAAGGTCCCTTTTAGCTGTGACATTCTTGATATACTTTCATGAAACAGGTCCCTGTTTCTTTGTTTTCTAGTTAACCTACTAAAGAGAATTTGTAGGTGTAGATTCTAATCTCCAGTCAGGTAAAACACGGTTTATTTTGATGTCAAAGTAACTGAAAAGGGCTTATTAAGCATGTGAGAACCTAAAACTAACAGGAGACAGGAGTTTCATCCTTCCAGTGACAAGACTCAGAACTTATTCAGTTACCCAGACCATAATGTCAAAGAGAATGGATGTAAACATAGAGCCAGTGTATAGTCCTATAGACTTACCAGCTAGACAACAGACCCTCAGCATAGCATAGGAACCTGCTTTTTAAAACAATATGGCTTGGCCAAGAGGCAAACATGACTCTTATCTAATGGAGCCGGTGGAGTTGGAATTCCTAATTAGAAGATTCACTAGGACAGGATGGGGAAAATATTGATACAGGAGACACAACAGAGGAGAAGGGATTTCCCCAACTAGAATATAAGCTCCATGTAGGCAGAAATTTTGTCCCATTTGCTGCTGTGTTGTCTGGTACCTAACCAGCACATAGTAGGTGTTCAAAACATACTTGTTGAATGACTATGAATAAATAGACTAGAACTGGCCCTGTGACAAATGGGATTGTCAGAGCCATGGTGTGATAAAGTCAAAGCAAATGGCAAATATGATAAAGCAAATTGGATCTAACATCCTACTTCAAAGGATTGTTGAGGGCAGATGTGAAAGCTCTTTGGAAAAGTCAATATAAAAACATACATTTATAGCAGTCAATATGAAAACATAAATAACCCTTAGTGCAAAGAGAACAGTTGAGAAAAAAATCATTGCTAAGAGATTTTAAATTCTTTATTATAAATTCCTAAGGCTAGAGACTAAAAAGTAAGTTAAAAGAAACTGGCCTCTTTTCAATGGTTGATCAAGAATAAAAAGACCATCCTACTTGAACATCATTTTTTTTTTTTAAGAGAGAGTGAGAGAGAGGGGAGGACAGAGAGAGAGAGAATTTTAACATTTATTTATTTTTTCTTAGTTCTCGGCGGACACAACATCTTTGTTGGTATGTGGTGCTAAGGATCGAACCCCGGCCGCACGCATGCCAGGCGAGCGTGCTACCGCTTGAGCCACATCCCCAGCCCTGAACATCATTTTTTTAAGATCAATTTAATTTCAAAATCCTGGCTTCTGGCTTGCACATATCAAAATTATCTGGAAAACATTCCTAAACTTAAGATTCCCAAACTCCCCTCCAGATTTACTGAATCAGGATCTCTGAGAATGAGGTCTGGAAATGTCTTTAAATGCTCTCTAAGGTGATTCAAAAGCAATAAACAGATTCGGTGACCTGTATTTATGAATGGTATGAAATGAAGCATTGTTACTCAAAGATGTAGAAAAGTTATTGAGACAATAGTTCTTCTCCTTAAAGAGTTCACAGTGCAAAGAATAAAGTAGAGCTTTAAACTAACATTGACAATGCAGACAGCCAGCCACTACACTCGACTACCATGTCAACACAGGAGAGAAACCCTCTACCCAGTTCTAGAGACAGAGGGCTGGTGACCTTTAAAAAATGTATATGGAGACTGGGGTTGTGGCTCAGTGGTAGAGTGCTTGCCTCACACGTGTGAGGCCCTGGGTTCAATCCTCAGCACTACATAAAAATAAACAAATAAAATAAAGGTATTGTGTCCACCCACAACTAATATATATATATTATATTATATATATATTATGTTATATATATGTTATATATTATATATATATATAATTATTCATATACCATATATGAATAATTATTCATATATGGTATATGAATAATTACTAGGAGCTGGAGCAAGGATAGGTAATGGGGAATTATTGTTAAATAGGAATGATAAATATTTTCTGAAGATGGATAGTGGTGATGGTTGCACAATAGTGTAATTAATACCACTGAATTGTACTTTTCAAATTTTATGTTCATGTATTTTAACCACAAAAAAGAGGAGGGGAGAACTTAAAATTAGCTAAACAGATTGTAAGAGCAAATGGAGTCTTATGATTAGTGGGAACCAAATTTCCAAAGGAAAAGAGGGGGGTGAAAAAATATGAATCTTTTAGAGACCTTAAGTTGTTAACAGTGGCTAGAACATAAGATACCTTTTGAGAAGTGGCAGGAGCTGATTTCCAGAAAGTATACAGGGACCAGATCTCTGAAAATCATTGCAAGTCATACTAAGAATTTTTTTTTTTTCACGAAAGCAATAGAGAAACACTGAAGAGTTTAACTAGGCGAGTGACATATTTAGTTCTGCAATTGAGATCATTCTCCCTACAAGGTAAAGGACAGATTGGATCAGCACAAAATATTCCTGTCTGCCAGGCCTGGTGGTTCACAACAGTAGTCCCAGATATTCAGGACACTAAGGCAGGAGAATCACTTTAGCCCATAAGTTCAAGACCAACCTGGGCAACATAGCAAAATCCCTGTCTCCAAAAACGTGTATATGTGTGCTGCTATAGCATATAACAAAATACCACAAACTGGTTTATTTATTAAGAAAATAAATTTGGCTTTCTCACAGTTCTGAGTAATAAATTTTCCTGGGTAGGAAGCTCAGCATCTGGTGCCTGCATCTGGTGAGGACTGCTCGGCTGCTCTCCACTTTGAAGATAGGGTCTTGAATGCTGCATCCAGAGTGCAACAGTGCATTCTCATATGGCAAAAGGTGAAAAGGCAAAAAGTGTCTGAACTCCCTCCATCAAGCCCTTTTATAACGACACCTTATCCGGTTCATGAGGGAGGAGTCTTTATGGTTTAATGACCTCTTAAAGATCCCACTTCCTAATCCGATCACATTGATAGCACCTAAGTTGTGAAGAAGGTACATTCAAACCATAGCAATTGGGAAATAATATATAAAATGAGGCAAGAGATCAGGGAGGGTCTTATACACTAAAGTAGAGTAGTGGAGAGGGATTACAGAGAATGGTGGCAAAAACTGACATCATGGTCAGTTTGGATGTGGAGGATGAAGGACAAATCAGGAATTTGCTCCCAGACTTATTTCAGCTGACAGAGAATACAGGAAGAGAAGATTTGTTAGCAATGGGTGGTGAGGTCAAGATGAGGTCAGTTTTGAACACCTTGAGTCTGAAGTGGGGAAGTCTTGCGGTCAGATATACTAATGAATAATTCCCAAAGCCATACATATACCAACACATGAAATTACATTAACAGTTATGAATTAACTTATATCAGTTTCAGTTAAACAATTATAATAACCTTATGCTGCATAACAAACAACCCCCAAACTTGATGGCTTAAAGAAAAATTTATTTGCTCATGATCCTATGGATAAGCAATTTGTGCTGAGCTAGAGTAGTTTTTCTCAACATCACATAGTGATGGCTGGGCAGACTCAAGAATTTGTGGTCAGCTAGTGGCCTTACTTTCATGTCTGGTGGTTGGCTGGTCGTCAGCAGGAACAATAAAGGAAACCGAACTGTTAGGATCCAGCCAGCTACTCTGGGCTCTTTCATATGGTAGTGGTTATGGGATTTCCAAATGCACCAAGAGGGCAAATCCTAACTTGTGAGTACTTTTCAAGGCTTTGCTTATGTCTCATTGGCTAAAGCAATTAATTTGGCCAAACCTAAAGTCACTGAGGGACTGGATTACCCAAGAATTTGGATACAAGAGAAGCAGAACAAATTGGGATCATTACTGCATCAATCTATCACATATGTCCTTATTCTTGTGGCTCCTGAGGATGAGGGGGGTGGAAGAGGGAGACAGGAACACATGGTGCTCTTAAACAAATACTTTTACTCCCTCACAACATCTGTCATGTTCT